TTTGCTTTGGGCTTCTGAGTCGCCAGGGTCACAAGGCCTGTGCCACCGGGTTCGACTCTTTCAATATAAATAGATCCACTGGCTACTGAATGCAACCATCTTATAAAGAAACAGATTTATAAGTGCACATTAAACTTTTGTGTTTTAGCACTTTTATGTTATAAAGCTTATAATAGAAAAACATAAAGCTTGTAATAGAAAAATAATATGTGCTCATTGTATGATCTTTATAAACATTTCTTAGAGCCCCGCAAGTTCTATAGAGCTCATTCCCAAAACGATTTGCAGTTAATAGCTTTTTATGTATTGCCCTAGATGATTTGTATGGGTATGTAGGCATGTGCACATTCTATGGTTAAGGAAAACCTCCTCTAGTCCCTGCCAGAAGCCTTCTTGAATGGACCCACAACAGATAAATTAATAAGAAAAGAAAAAAACCCAACATTTTTTTGTTTGGTTTTGAGATAGATTTTACACATCCTCCCGGCTGCTTTCAAACTTGTCAACCTCCTGAGGCAAGGATTACAGGCATGAGCCACTGTGTCATGTAATACATATAAACTTGGCAAGGGTTACAGGCATGAGAGACTGTCAGGTAGTACATATAAACTTGGCAAGGGTTACAGGCATGATCCACTGTGTCAAGTAGTACATATAAACTTAATCTGTACAGTGGTGACCAGCAGGAAAATGGTTGCCTACCTGCCAAGGGGAATTTAGATGGTTATATCCATTCAGGTGGTGAGGGAATGTGGACCATTTTTTCTGAGGGTCAGTAAGAGTTTTTAATCCAGAGAATGCAGTCAATTTAGAGAGAAAAAACTAATTTGCAAATAGTTATCTCTGGAACTTTAGTGCATCCAAAGGTCAGACTGCTGTGAACAGCCTTCTGCCTGTGCAAGCTGGGGCCATGGGGCAGTCTTTGCCGCCATATCACCCATGAGATGTTAAGGTGACGGTGGAAAGTAATTGCGGTCTTTCAGATCCAACATTGATATACTTGAGCTGACCACGGCTCATTCTATGAAACTTCCTTGACGAAGAGGATTGAAAGGTAAGGTGTGGAGGCAGGAAGGCCAGCAACCCTGACTGTGAGACTGTTTCTGTATAGCCACACTTTGTGAAATTGTTCACTCAGCCATAATACCACACCGGTAGCTCAGTGCAGGGCATACTTTAGAACATGTAGAAGCTGACTGGAGAGGTGGCTCACACACAGTTCAGAGCACTTGCTGCTTTTGTTAAGGGTCTGAATTTAGTTCCCGAACCAACATGGTGGCTCATGGCTGTAACTGCAGTTCCAAGTGGTCCTCCATCCTCTCTGGCCTCCACTGACCTTACTTGCATATCGTGGGTACACATTCATGCAGGCAAGGCACTGCTACACTGAAAAACAGATACATTTAATAAAATAAAATAGAGCCACGTGTTACTTTTATCATTTGTCTCATTCGTCAATTCGTATAGATCTGATGCATGGCTTTTTAAAGATATTATTGGATTAGCGCTTTTCTGAATGAATGAACCAATTTGCTCTTTTATGATGACTGTCCTTAAGAAGTATTTTCAACTGTCTTTGCATGATTACGTAATTACCCACGTAAGAGACAATGTTCCGGTGTAATCACTATGTTTATGGCTTGCAGGAACAATTTACCACGGCAGTATGGGAAGTTCCCACTAGACTTCTAAGACAGTAGTATAAGCCTCATGCTGAAAAGAAGCAGACACCCTCTTGACACTAATAGAGGCCAACATGCGAGGGCAGAACGTACCAAGCAAGTGTAGAAGACGCGCTCTATGCCTCCTCAAGCTTCCTGTGGCGATTGCCATTGCTTGGAGTACTTGGAGTTCTGTTCTGTGGTTGCTTCTGTTTCTATTCCCTCTCCATCATCATGTCCCTATGTCTGTCTGTCTAAATTTCACTTCTCTAGTCCAAGGATAGTGTGATTGCAAGCAGATAACACGTTGACAATAAAGAAACACTTTGTCGGAAATCCTTATAGTTTTGCTATTCATGGTACCTTTACAGGTCCTGGGAATTGGGACATGAACATAGCCACCATTTCACCTATTGTAATTTTTGTCTATGTGAGTCTAAAAGGATAATTATGGTGAACTAGGGTGGTTGTTTGGTGTGAATGGTTCACTTCTATTCTTTGCAGTTTATTATGCATTAGTGTAGTGTTTTCCCTTAGTTTACCAGTTCCAGAGAAATCTTTAGTTAGTTTTGACCCTTAACATCATTTAGCACTCTGAGTCATTTTAACTGAAGAAAGAGTTGGTGTCTAAAAGTAAGTTGTGGTGTGGCTGACATTTTGAGGGTCATGTACCATCGATATCTATCTTGTCTGGATGTCAAAGTAAATCAGTCGATATGATTTAAAAGATGGTCCACTCAGAAGATGCCCCCACACCGCAGGATCAGATTTCAGTTTAATTCAATTATAGGTTGGAAACGAAAAGACTTGATTCCATCTGATTCCTGCTGTTAAACTGGATAAGCTTGCACCTCAACTTAAAACATCTTAGAATAGTTTTGCACCGTTACATTGTTTGTATAGGAAAGAAGGAACAAAACGAAACTAGCACACGGTTGTTCTTCATGGAACATATTAATCTCCTTAGGTGACACACAGTCCAGCGCTGGGGACATGGGAAAGAAAGTTCGTGCTGTAATGTAACAAATCTGCAGGATTTACAGTGGGACCAAACTGTTCTTAATATGAGCCTTTGTTTGCTGAGAGTATTATTTCGGGACCTTGCTTTTGAAGATTAAATATGACACAGTCTGGCCATATTTAAAGAAATTAAACCATCACATTTTGTAAAGGAATGTGCTGGTACTCTGTAGGGTGGGTACAAGGGAGCCTTGAGTAGACCGAGGCTGTGGATTACCAAACAATTCAGCTGAATGCCTACAAGTAATGGAATCATTAAAGTGTTATTTATTCATGTGCCCTGAAAAGCTGATGATAATCAGCTTGTGGCATATGTAAATAGAGCCAAGAAACCGTATTAGAAAATGTGATGTTCTCCTATGAAAGCTATAATGATTGGCATTGTTTTGTAGTGGGGAGATGGGGGGGTGAAGAAATCCACAAAACTGTCGTTTTATGAAACTAAAATAAAAATTTTAGGTTTTAGATATAATTGTTTATCAAAAATGTATAAAACTTGCTCATGCATTGTTAAAATTAACAATGAATTCATATATATTGCGTATGTGTGCACATGATTGGTCAAAATCAGTAGAGAATGGATGTAACTAGAATAATTGAAACAATCAAGTTGGGCCTTCTTGATTATTAAGCCATTTGTTGAAAGGTTCCTAGAATGTAGATTGGTTTTTCTAAAATAAGAATCTGTTAAGTTTTACGCCGTAACATTTCATAGAAATGTTGGTGAGTAGGTAGAATTTGTAGCATCCTGAGATTTCCTCCGAAAGAATCCCTTTTATTCTTGCTTCTTAACTAGTATGTGTAAGACATGAGTGCAGTTAATTACAGCCCCGGGGTCAGAACCCAGTTTTCAGGGATGCCTCGGGCTTTCCTCTGAGGCCGTGCCCTGCAGTCAGTGAAGTCTACTATGCCAGAGGAATTGGGGGGGGGGGAGGAAGGGGAGAAAAGCTATAAAGATTGCCTTCATTGACGTGCACTGGTACTTGGGGTAGGCCATGACAACACCTAAGCATTCCATTAGGAGAAGAGCTGACCTCTTCTACAGGCCCAGGAAGTCTACTGGGTGAGCCTTTAGCTCTGTTCCTTGTCAGTTTCTTAGACCCAATGGGTGACTTTAAGACTTCTTCACTCTATTTCTTTGCACACATCCTTCATCCTCTTATAATGCGTCTTTGACCCAGAGACCATGGTGTCTTCTCTCAATAATTTGTAATAGTGAGCCTTACAGCCAAAGTGGATGACTGGTTATTTAATGGAAAGAATGTAGTTTTCACTTTCTCATTTGCTTACTCTGGTCAGTATTATCTGTTACATGAAATTTTATATATTCAATACCATATTGAGGTTTATATCTTGAATGAAGACATTTGTTCTACTAATATTAGACCTGGTTACAGAGTTTGAATTCTAAAACAGATCTGTAGAATATTATTTTTTGCTACCCACCGTTAAAATCTGTTTATTATTGATAGTATCTAGAATTATTTTGTTAAATCTTGTATGTACACAGCCACACCCACAGACACACACCAATACACATGGGCATGATATACCACCAATTAATTTAAATAGGTACAAGGAAATGAGTGGTAGCTAATGAATGTCAATAAGTTTTCTTTTTCATAATGTAACTTGTACAATCTAATCTGTTCTTTGTGTGATGTGTCTGTAGATGTCCAGGTGTATGTACATTTGTGTGTGATTTTCTGTGGAAGCCAGAGGCCAACCACCACTGTCATTCTTCAGGGGGCATTGTTCATTGTTTTTGATGCAGGGTCTCTCATTAGGATCTGGAACTCATCCACTCAGCTAGACTGGCTGGCTAGCAAGCCCCAGAGGGCCTCCTGTCCCCACTTCCTAGTGCTAGAATTATATGCTGTGCTGTTTACACGGATGTGGCCAATTGAATTCAGTTCTTTCTGCTGATGGGGAAAGCACTTGCCAACTGAGATCTGGTTTTTCTTTTATTTTCCATTTTTCATGCATACATACATATATATACATATATGTATACATATATATGTGCATATATATGCATATATATAATTGACATATTCATACATGATTGACAAAGCATATCTATGTATGCATACACATATTTATTTAATTGTGGATATAAAAGATGTGCACAGCTGGGTGGTGGTGGCACACACCTTTAATCCCAGCACTCAGGAGGCAGAGGCAGACAGATATCTATGAGTTGAAGGCCAGCCTGGTCTACCAATCAAGTTCCAGGACAGGCCCCAAAACTACATAAGGCAACCCTGTTTCAAAATAAATAAATAAATATATGTTTAATACTTTTTTCTCTTTCTTTAGGTAATCTGGAGTCTGCACGACCTCTCCCTTTGTATTGCCTTCAAATATTACTCATCAACCTAAAGTGGCTAGGCTTAAATATACACACCACCCAAAGAAATCTGTTAAAGTGGTCATCTGACAACAGGTAAAAGGGCAACTTTGTTTCTGGTTCTTTTGGTCACACTTGCAAGTTACAGGGACAAAAACCATGATGGCTTTCCAAGTACATACAATATCGAATAATTGTCCACAAGGAAAATCGTGAAGGAGTATGTTTGTTCGCATTGAATCCTGACCGTTGATCAACTCCAGCTTCCAGTAAGCAAGGGGTGAGAGTGGGATGTGCTATGTTCCAAGGGCAATAATGGGCTTAGAACTTAATACTACGAACCATTAGCAGAATGCCAAGAGTAAGTTCTCCCCAGGGCCTAGGATCTGTCAGCTCACAGGTTCTCAGCGTTCACTGGTAGATTTTGTGGAGTGTGCCATGAATCTAATCAGAAAGCATGCTATCATGTTGTGCCTGGGGCATACATTTTTTTTTTCTTTCTGTACAGGTAGCTACTGGGGTTCATAGCTGGAGAAGACTGATAGTAACTTTTCTCCTCTGGGTAGTAATGCATACATAGCTCCTTTAAGTGCTATGAAACATAGTAAGGATAGAACTCTCAGGTTGAAACCAACTTGATTTATCACTATCTGTGACTCAAGTATGTCATATCTTCAGTCTTGGTATAACTGTCAAGTTCTAGAGAGCAGCATGAGCAATCATAATAGACTTTAATATTTGGAGGTCTGTGCAACAGCTCCAATAAATGTAAACCAGTCCTAGCGTTGGGATTTTGTTTTTAGCCTATATTTTCTAGTAGGGGGTGTAAGTATCCAGGCATCTGTCCTGGCCTGTCCTTGGGGTTCTGACAGGATTCACCCTCAGCTGCAGCTACTAAGAGCACCACCTGTGCACATTCACTACGTTCCCTTTCAAAAGGGCCCTGCCCACCTCCCATCTTTCTCTCTCTCACACACACACACACTCTCTCATTCTTCCTCTCTCTCCCTTCCTCCCTTTTCTTCCATCACTCTTGGCCCCGGGACCAGTCTCTGTCTCCCTCTATGCCCCTTTCTACATCTTGTCTCTCCTCTCCCAGTAAACCTCCCATGTGAGTCCTTCCTGTATGGCATGAAATCCCTCTGTGGCATTTAAAACACATCACAACACGGGGGTTTTTGCTACATGATAGGGTTTTGGCATTTTTATACTTGCATATGCTTCCATCTTAGGACTGCACTGCAGTCGTTTTTCACGTGACTTTGCCTGAAGTGTTAATGATTCCCTCCTTGTATTTATTTCCTCCTCTGCTCTGCTTTTCCATCCCTACCCCAGCCAACCCTGCACATTCTATCGCTCCTCTCCCAGCGTCCACCGTTGTTCTGTCTTCTGTCCCTTGAAAAGCCCCTCTTACTCATCATTTGTCACTGGGCAATTGAAGGGTGTGCTCCCAGCTGGGGAAGACCACCTTTCCTACTCCCAGCGTTCTTCACTCACTGATGGTTCTTGGTGTAAGGTTGAAGCCAGAGCTCTAATTCTTTTGTTTTGTTCATTTTGAGACCGTGTTTCTCTGTGTAGCCTTGGCTGTCCTGGAACTCACTCTGGGAGAATTAATTCTTAGCAGACACTATTGTGTGGCTAGTATTATGTTGTTTGCTTTTCTGATGGGACCCAAGCATACTGAATTGAGTCTTTAGTAGTGTTTCTTCATATGGAAATTGTGTTTCCCCTTTGTGGAATGAGTGTCAAGATCTTGGTTTTCTATTACCACATCTAGTCAGATTGTAGAACAGTTGCATGGGGCTAAGGCATGTGGAACAGACCTATGCATGATGAGAAAATGCTCATAGAAAACCCTCAGGGGTCAGTGTTAGGTGTTTAGGACTTCTCTCCAAGCAGCTGGAGTGAGTGAAGTGTTTGTGGGTGCCGGCGGTCCCATCCTGGGAGTGGAGCAAGCATATTAGCATAAGACCTAGGGTCCTCAAACAAGCTGCAGCTGTGGGTGTGTTCATGTCAGGAATCTCTCGTTCTGACATGGAGGGGAAGGGCCAGCCAACAGGAAAGGAATATATGGCCATCAGGGCATGAGGTGGTAGCATGTGGGGTTGGTGGGAAGCGATAGTCTGATGTCCTTACCTAGAGGGAAGGTGTGCCTATTGATGCCTTTAAAAATGACAGGGAGCTGAATTGGGTAATTTTATTTCTAAACGTTTACCATATCAATTGTAATGAAGACTATAATCGTTTGCAGTCATGGATTAATAATGACAGATAGTTGTTTCCATTCTGCATGCTGGAGAATTATAGGGTCCCATCTTTAGTCCTCGTTACTGTCTCTACAAATGTAGATAAAGCTGTTTGCTACATAAAGCCTTCTGGCATTTCCTCCATGTTTCTTCAAGCTGTTTGCTACATAAAGCCTTCTGACATTTCCTCCATGGTTCTTCAGGTTTTCTTTTTTTTACTTTGCAAGCAAGAAGGAAATTGGTAACTTCACAGTTTAATTTAAAAATGAGGTAATGAGCTCAAAATTCCTAAAAAGCCAATTGTTGTCTTCTGCTTATTTAAACCATGTCTACACTCCACCTTTCCTGGTTGCCCTTTAAATGTTTTGCATTTCTAAAGACATTGGTTTTTTTTTAGTACTCAAAAGTTGTAAATCGATCAACATACAGAAATGGTACTGTTTTAAAACTCAGGATGCATAGTTAGGAGAGATAATTAGTATTGTGTCCAACAAGAAAACATTAAAGAAAATTATAACAAGCTGTGGACATATAAACCTTTAAAAGTAATTATTGACAAACATGGCTTTTTACTGACTTGTAACCTCTGTAGAATGTTAATCTAATACAAATGGTTTTCACTAAACCCACTACCCACTTTATATGGATCACTTAGCTGTGTCATAACCTCATATCTTGCTCATTTCTTTGGCGTTTTAGTAGACTTTTGTTGGGTGAGATTCTTCCTCCTTGGGCAGACATTGTAAACACACACACACACACACACACACACACACACACACACATGTGCGCGCACGCGCGCACACGCACGCACCTCCCTACCTGTTCCCTCCTGAATGGAGACCCCTACAGACCAAAGTCAGAATCTCATCAAAGTCCAAAGAGTTAACGAGGTGGGATTTTTTTTTGAGGGGGTGACTTACAGGTGCACAGATGCTTCAGAAGCAGTTGCATCCCCCAAAAGTCCATCCCAGGATCTCCCTGAAGCTCCACAGACCCCCAGAATCTCCTCCCTTTTAGCAGTGCCTGTCTGTGGCTCCTTAAGCAGTGTATTATCCACCTGTGTCCTTGGGTAGGGGCCCTGGTGAGAGTTTCTGTCTTCCTGGATTTGTGAAGTTGCCTGACCTCTTGAGTCCCTTGCATCTCCAATCTCTCCTGGAGGGAATGGATGTTTCAGAGGAAACTGTTACACAAGAGTTTCCATGGACCTAAGAATCCCCTTGCTAGTCCGGTTTTTACCACTGTGACAAAGTACCTCGTGAAATTCACTTTTAATGGAGGACAGAGTTATTTTTATCAGATGGTTCAGAGGTTGTAACCGCCATTGCTAGATTCTTTTATTACGGACCACTGTGAGAACACGGTGGTAAGAGAGCATGTGTTGTATTACACCGAAGATAACCATGATGGGAGCCATGGAGAAAGACAGTAAAGGCCACAGTCCCAGACTTCTCCACAAGAACATGAGATCTAACTTGCTTCTCTTACATTCTTCAACTTAAAGATCCAATTGTTTCCCAACAGCACCAAGGGCTGGTACTAATCCTTCAGCACCATAACACTGGGGGATGTTTAAGATCAAGCCATACAAATTTCTGCAGAGAGAATTTTTCAGGTGATTAATATTGTGAAAATCAAGTGCTCCTGACTCTTTCAATCCTTCAGGACATTTAGACACACAGAATGCAATAAAAATGTCAAGTGGTTTTTCTTTGGCTTATTTTACTCCCTGAGTGCATAAGCGAGCAGCCTTATTTCCCATTCTCTGGATATTACTTTAGCACTAGCAGTTATTAACGAGATCCAATTGCTCACATATTACTCAGATCAAGTTTCTTAGGATTTCTGAAATTTGTATCATTTTAAAACGATCACCAAAGGATCTCTGTGGAAACTAAACTGATTAATAAATGCTTTCTGGTGATGATAAGGATTGACTTAGCCATAACAAGAATTCAGAATTTATTGAAGTATATCCCTTTATCCATATCATTTTGTATACTATGATTATGTTACAGGTAAATTTAAATACCATGTGTTCAGGTCAGTAGAAAAAGAGTTGGACAACTTGAAATGTTTTTAATTCTTTAAATAATTTTATTTTTAAACTGAAAATAGTTTTTTTCTTATACTGTACTATGATTATGATTCCCCTTCCTCCAAATATTCCCACTTTCCCCATCCACCTAAATTCATATTCTTTCTTGGTCTCTTTAATTAGGAAACAAAACAAATAAGAGGAAAAAATAAAATAAAAAGCCAGGCAAACCTAAACAGGACAAAACAAAGAGCTAATGCTAAATAAAACACAGGAAATAAACATATATATATTATACACAGGCTTGGCTCACAACCAAAAATGTAAAGTGGTGTGTGAGTGTGTGTGTGTGTGTGAGAGAGAGTGTGTGTTTACATGTGTACATGTGTGTTTGCAGTAGTGCATATGTGGAAGTCACATGATGATTTCTAGGAATTAGTTCTTAGCTTCCACTACTTCAGTTCCTGGATTTGAACTCAAGTTGCCAGGATTGGTTACAAACCCCTTTACCTGCTGACTCCAATTTGAGTTTCATGTCATTATTATGCTTGGATTTGGCCCCCACCTTCCACCTCCCTCCCTCCCTGGTGTGCTCACACTGGCACTGTCTTTCTAGTTTGGAATAACTTGTCATTGTGATTTATCTTGATATTGAAGGGCTAAAGGAACTGGCCTTTTTCAATACCATTCAAGAATTCTGTTACACAAATTTCTCACCACTAACCCTCTCAAACAGAATGGGAGGCACATCTGTCATTCACTTCCTAAGTTCTTTAGAAACAGTCACTTGAGGTTGCTTCACAAATTATCAGCATATGACTAAGCAACATATGTAGATATGGAGCTGAAAACAAATGCAATATAAAATATAAATTTCCTATTAACCATGGTGTCAATCAAAAGGGAAATTTTTATTTTTTAAACTGAGTTACACTTCATGTATTTCCTATTTGCCTGAAACTTGCATAGTTACAACAAAGGAGTTCTATGATAGCTAATTAAAAATAATGAAATAACTCATAGCATTGCAGTTGTATCTCTGGGATTCATTCAATTACATTATCATTTAAATTAATCAGGCAAATAGTCATATAGAACAGTGATGAAAATAAATGTACAATTTTCAATAATAACTGTTAGGCTGAGTGTTTTTTCTCCTCCGGATTTTTCTCTCTAATGTCTGTTATAGGGATCATTAAATGGCAGTTACCAGACTACTTTGTAAAGAAAGCTTCATTGAAAAACCATGCTCAATTGTGTCAGTGTCTATATGACATTAAAATTCAATTTGGATAAACACTCAGTGCAGACCATGCAGCCAGGAACCCTTACAGCCTTTGTGTCCCTTACAATAAAACCTTGAAGACCCTTATCTTATAATTAAAGTTGATAAAACACTGTTATCGATCCCGTCCAATAGCTTGTGGGATGTAGTCACCTTTGTGACAATATGTGAGTCCTCAGAGGACATTAGGCTAAATTATATACGTCTGACCCCAAAGGAAAAAATACTGAAGGATCTCTCTTTTTTTTTTTTTTTTTTTTTTTTGATGAATGTTGAAAAGAAACCATTCTGAAATCATAGACATGAAGAATAGAAGGGTATTTTCTTGTGCAGAGCTCTTTGTGTAGTGGGCTTTGTGTCATATGGTATGGACTGGGTGCTCTGAGCCTGCTAAGACTGTAGACTTTAGGTATTCTACACACACACACACACACACACACACACACACACACACACACACACACTCACACGAGGAGGCGCGAGGAGAGTAATGGACATAAGAATATGAGTTTTGGGTTAAATTAAAGGCAGTTGACTTGTACTCTCACATGGAATATGCACATTAAGACATAACTCTTTGCACCTGACAAACTCGGTATGTGTGTGTGTTGCAGAAACCATCTGCACATTTACAAGAGCCGAAAATAAACTTTTCCATAGGCTGATTTTGGAAAACAGTTTTATATGTAGATACATATATACATACATACATACATATACTAGTACACAGGAATGTGGATTTTTTTCTGCATTTCACCGAAGCATCTCTATACCCTGGAGGATGTGGAGGCAAGGTTTCCATTGTGTAATTTCTTACATATTACACTGTGCATCATTTCCTTCCACGGGAGAGGATTAAGTGTTATGTGTGTACATAGTAAAGAGCCTCTTCTCCACTCCCTCAACAAACAAGCATGTTTATCCATGTAGCTGGTGGAAGTTTTTGGCAATGAAGAGAGAGACAGAGGCAGAGAGAGAGAGAGAGAGAGACAGAGAGAGAGACAACACACAGAGATATTCACAAAACTGCTGGTAGCACTAATTTTGGGAAGGCAACATTTTGAATGAAAATATTAGTCTTAAGGCTTGGAGATTTCTTAGTTGTTAAGTGCTTACCACAAAGTTGTGAGGACCTGAGTTCAGTCCTCCAGAATCCACAATACAAAGAAAACGACAACTATGCATACAACTGCTGTGGGGAATGAGGATTCTTGGAGCTTTTGCCCCTAAGAGTTGCCAAATCAGCAAGCTCTTGATACTATGAGAACAATTGAGGGAAATGCCATATGTCAACCCTGATGACACACAAACGCACATGTGCCCACACACAACACTTATACACACATATGCCCACACACAGAAAACATGCGCAGAGAAAGCATTCTTCCTTAAAGTGTAACAGGTACATTTCCTCTGGGCTTGAAAGCAAGACTGCAGTAATGTTTGTTTTTCTTTAGTTGGCACTTCCGGTCGTGTCTGGGTTCTTAACTTCATTTTCAAATGTTTTCTTTCCATAAAGGTGTTTTCAGATTTCCCCTCTCAATAATCAAGGCTGTATATCTAACACTTTCTGCTTTGAATTTCTGATCATTTTCCAAGCACAAGAATACTAAATACATACATACAATGAAATTGGAGTTACAGTGAGAATGCCTGTCAGCAGGTTTCCAGGGCGATACCAAAAAACCCAACATACAACATGAACTGTTGTTTCTTTTTCAACAGGTTACTTTAGTCTCCAGCAGAGGTGCAGAAATGCCATCGGAGACTGCTGTACCGCTTCCCCACCCGCTTCCTCCCGATGGAGGGTGGGGCTGGGTAGTGGTTGGAGCATCCTTTATCTCCATCGGATTTTCATATGCCTTCCCCAAAGCTGTCACAGTATTCTTCAAAGATATTCAGGAAATATTCCACGCTAGCTACAGTGAAATCGCGTGGATATCGTCCATCATGCTGGCTGTGATGTATGCAGGAGGTAAGGTTCTCCGTGTAGACCAAATGCTGGAATGAGAACACAGTTATTCATTGCCGTAGACTTGACATTGACCATGCCCACACACTAAAACTCTTACTGTATTACTATATTGATCAGTTATAATCATCCAAAAGCATAGTGAGAACTGCATTTTTAGTGGTTTTTGATGATTTAACATCATTATCTGTTTGCTTCATTTTGAGTCTTAATAGGTTATTCGGTGGGACGGAGAATTAACCTGTATGAATGAGGTTTGCCATATTATCAAGATTCCAAGTGAATCATTTACTGTTCAGTTTGGAATGAACCCCATACTATGATATTGGGATTATTTTTCACCATTGCCATAGCTTGACTAAAGGCTTTCTTTCAATTGAAAAGGAAACATGTTTCTGTCAGTTTATAAGCCCAGAATATACTCCATTTTGCACTGCCCAGGAGGACTGTTTGCATATACTTTCTACACATATTCAAGTTTTATATGTGGTATAATACCTTAATGCTTTAGGACTCACAAAAATAATGACACCATTTTATTTAAATGGTTGCTTCCAATTGTCTTGTTAGTTGTCTACGTTAAAATGAGAGTGTAAGTCATGATGGAGAATGAATACATCAAAGCACCCCACATTAGAGTGTTAAACAATGAAAACCCCTTATGACTATGTGACCTATTGTCTTTAAAACATTCTCTGCAGTAGACGAGATTTTTATAGATTTTTTTTTTATAAATCATTACTTAAATGTATGGGTTTTAGAATTTTAATTTGTCAACTGGTAATGTAACTTCAAGGGACAGTTACAGACTCAGACTGTATTAATTCAAAGCTATATACATCATCTAATGTCATTTTTTTCATTAAGTAAAGATAATGGGATCCCTAGTGAGGGAGACAGAATACTAGCAATAATAACTAATATTTCTTAGAACTTGCTAGTGGCCAATGCCTCATGCCACACTTGATTTGTGTTGTATTTCCCAATCTTCTTGACAGCCTGAGAAATGATTGCTGTCTTTCTGTTCTTTCTTGGACTTGAGGACACAGACAATCCAGCCTTCCAAAGTCACAGGGCTCATTTCTGAATAGAAAAACCTAAGCCTTCAAGACATGTAGCCACTATGCTCTCAGCCTCTCATCTTTCTCTAAACCAGTTCTTTTGAAAACCCAATGCGTGCTCTTGCCGTATAACACTGAGGCACATTCCACCTGGCCCAGAGGTAGACCAGTTATTCTTTAAGGTGTTATCTCTCTAACATACTGCCAAAGCCAGCGTTTGATCCATAAATAATCCCATTTTATGTATGTGTGTGTCTGTGTGATAAATGTGTTAGTGTCAGTGTGGATTTTCCTTTTCTATACTTGAGTGATTCTGGATTAATTAGGCTAACATGCCTTAGTAATAATTATTAAGCTTTTATTTGATTATCAAAAGTATCCTTTAAATTCTATGGGAGCATGTAGTTGAAGAACTACGCTTTAAAAATACGCTTTCTAGGACTCACTTTTGGACACTTGCCTTAAGGATTATAGCTGTTACTTCTTACGTCATATACACATGGTTGATTCTGCACAGTGCTTCTCGTTCTTCTATAGCTCTGGTGTTCTTTGATAATGCTTTGCTGGGTCAACCCATTTGCCTTGACCTGAGAAGTCAAGGTTAAGACTAAAATACCTCTGAGGTCATTAGTGTCCAGGCATGGAATTTATGAGTTTTTCATATGGACATACTAGATGCTGTTTACCCATTCATTAGTCAAGAGATATTTAGTTTAGTTTAAAATTAATACACATGGTTTTCTATGAACACTCATGTGCACATTTCTGTGTGAACACATATTTCCATCTTTGTGTGGCATGAGATGCTTAAGCTTCTATGAAACTCTGACAGATACTTCCTAAGTTACTTGATGAGTTATCATTTCTTCTCACGTCCACTGAATACAACTTCATGTCTGTGACAGAACTTGTGTTTTTCATTATAGCCTTCTTAGTGGATATAAAATTTGTCACTATGTTCTGGTTTGTATTTTCTATTTAGGGGAGTTTTATTCAGATCAATTTTCTATGAAAATAATTCTTATATTTTATGTGTCCGTGTGTGTGTGTGTGTGTGTGTGTGTGTGTGTGTGTGTGTGTGTGTGTTGGACAAAGAACAACCTTCCCACAATGTGGGTACTGCAAATTGAATTCATGTTGCCAGACATGGCAACAAGTGCCTTCACTCACTGAACCATCTTAAGCCCTCCCTCAATTCTAATTTTTTAAAAAATAAAAATGGTCTAGAAAATTACCTTTGATTTGTATTGTATTAGCAATCTACTGCTGACTATTTGGCCTTCCCTTAAATGTGGTTTGTAAGCCCAGTCAGACTCCATTACAGAAAACTAATTTTCCTCCTCAAACACTTGTCACTTGGAGGTGGCTCCTTGTTTAGGGATGGGAGTTGTGTCCACTTCCCCCTCATACCCAACCTGTGCAAGTCCTATGCATGCTGCCATGGTATCTGGGAGTTCATACATGTGTCTGTCCTGTTTTGTCTGGAAGACACAGCTTTCATGGTGTCTTCCATCCTGTTCCCTGTCTTAAAATCTTCCTGCCTGCCTCCTGTTCTCCATAGTTCACTGAGATCTGAGGGTTGCAGGGATCAATGGATGTATCTCATTTAGGATTTAGTGTTGCAAACTCTCTGACTCTCTGCACACTGTCCAGTTTCTGAGTCTTTGTATTAGTTCCCATCTAATGTAAGAGGAAGGTTCTCTGATGATGGCTGAGAGGGACACTGACCTATGGGTAGAGCAGAACGTCACTAGGAATTTTCTGTTTTTGTTTGTTTGTTTTTTGTTTTTTAATTGCTGCATTCATTTAACAAAACAAAATGGTATTTGGTTTTCCCCAAAGCCCATGGCCTATCTGCCCTCAAGTTCTTGGCCTCCTGAGAAGTAATGAAAATGAACTTTTTTTTTTTTTTTTTTTTAGAGACAGTGATTTAGTGTGATAGATTTGGTAAGTTAAGGTATTAGTAATTTTACCTTTCAGTGGATTGTTTTCAAGTATGATTGACAAGTGTTCTGCAGTGACTATTAAATCTTCTGTCAAAAGTGCATTGTCCTAGGCCTTACCCTCAACCCACTTTTAGCGTGGTTTCTATTGGTAATTGTGTATTACATGGCAGTTCCTTCTTACAGAGGACAGAGTCAGTATTTGATTCAAAATATGTATTGTTTTGCCTACCATTGGCAAGAAGTCTACTTATTGAGGCTTTTCTTGGTTGATGATTGTAAATATGTTCAAAGACCATGAGGTGGAAAAGCATGTAGTTTAGTGTGGATATAACAAACTGACTGAGGTTATGTTCCACACAATGCTCACTGCATTTGCCTAGAAAATGCCTAGGATCTGACACTCATTAGGGCTTTGCATTCCACCTATTAATCACTGCAGTGGGGTCACCCAGAAATATGAAGTGTTGTTCTGAGGTCTGGCCTGTGATGTCAGGGCTAGAGCCTCTTGTCGTAATTAGTTGGCATCTGGGCTCTGGTAGCTAGGTATTATCTTCCCTTCTGATGTCTAAATTAAAAGTAAAACTAATAAAAGGTATGCAGAAAGGGTGGGAAAGATTGCAAATTACATTGATGTATTACTTTGTCTTTTGAATAATGGTACTACATTACAGCAATCCATCTGGCTGCCCATATGGTCTCTTGGAGTTCTAGCAAATTTCGGCAAATAGGTCAAGCAGAGTGGTCATCCCATTAATACAGCACTAAGTAGAGGCAGGAATTGTATTATAATCTTAACTTTCTGTGTTATTTAAATGAATGTGGGATTTATTGCCTGAACAGTGGTGACAGAGGATGGTGTTTTAGTGCAAAACTTGTGTGTTATGGTGTTGAAAGATAACACAAAAATCAATACATGCCGAACTTTCAAATATGATTACTTCGTGTGTGTGTGTGTGTGTGTGTGTGTGTGTGTGTGTGTGTGTGTGTGTGTTTCCCCTCTAACTCAATTTGGAGGGGGGGAAAGACAATCATTCTGGCAAACAGAATTGACTTTGTTCTGTTTTATGAGGGATGTAACTACCAAATGTGGTAAAGAAGGGACATTGTTTTATTATGGACCACTGGAAGGACCAAGCATCAGGCAATTGAACTTATTTCCTGGAGTTTAAGAAGCAGAAGGTTTTAGCATAGCAGATTGGTGTACAAAATATATGGTTTGTATCTGTTCTTTTTAAGATTTAAATAAAGCTATGTATTAATTTGTTTTGTGCTTTATAGTATTTGCATATTTAGGGGAGAACATTACTCTAATTCACATAGTAATGCTCTCATAATAGCAATAAAAGTGAAGGTCATTCCATACTTGTGTTTGAGATAGCTCGGGATTTCTTGTTATGTTAGCTCTCTGAATCCCAGAAAGTCTAGCAGATTTACCACGGCAATCCTGTACATATTACACATGTGCCACATTAGCTTTCTTTCTATCCATGAGTATTGCTGAAGATTTCCTAGGAAACATGGAATAGTGTGGCAGAAACTATTAGGCATGTTTTCCTGTATTTCCAGGTTCCCTCCTCTTAAGTTAAGACCGAGTTACTGATTTTCCAATGAAAAGTGACAGAAGGGTGTTTGTCACCCTTGGGTACCACATGGACAAGCTTCCTTTGTCCTGGCCACAAGGAAATCCATGGCCTAAACCCAGACTTTGAAACAGGAATTGCATAACACTATGATTTTGAGAAATGTTATGCAAAGATCCTAAACTGTACTGGCCATTCGAATCACAAAAGTTTGCCTGTTGGGCTCATAAGTATATACTTGGGCAAAGTATTTCCTCGTATCCACAGCAGACTATGAGATAGATTAGATTGTACCATAAGAATGGCTATCCACTGGGTACTTTGTTTGGTCTCTGTTAAGGGGAATGTGGGGGAGGGTGGAATCTAACATGGAAGTTGTAAAGCCTATTTTCCCAGTCAGCAGGAAGGAACAGGGA